GGTGTGCGATAGACTTACCTCCACATGGTGCACTCTGGGCAACGTATACTCATACGGCAAAAAGTCTATTAACTGGCAGTTGACCTCTGACTTCTAACTACCATCACCACACTGAATGTCATTTTCGACTGTTTCACAGTACTCACCTCACTCTTCATCTACCTTTGCGTCTGTCTCTTTTACATCTTTGAAACACTCTTCTGTTCCCCCCCCCCTTTCAAATTTTTCACTTTGATATTTCTTCTCCTCTATGAGGCCTGAAGTCGCCTAAAGGGCTAATGAAATTATCAAAATGCCTGCCATTTGTTATAAATAAATGATTTTATGATTCACAATAAAACATTTTTAACAATCCATGGTGACCATTTACTTTAGGGATATAAAAAACCAATTAGACTAATATGATGGCCGAAAATTTCAATTATAGTAAGAACAAACACCAGGAGGCTATGGTTTGAAATACTGTATTTGAACCAATAGGATATGACGTGATAACTGGGGCACTACAGAATTCAAATACATTAGGCTTGCTGATGTGCTGATTTCATTACCTGGTTACGAATGACTCTCTTCATTATCAGCCACCACCGCTATTATTACTAAATAAACTTTATTACTATTATTAACTTCTTTAACTAAGATTTCTGCTACTGGAGGTTCCGAATGGCATTCACGACTAACAGATACTACTAACCGTCCCCCAGTCCAATGCTTTTTATTTCTCTAATTCTTCATAAATCCCTTGTTTCAGAGACTAGCTGATATTTGTTTGTCAATAATGGAAATCGTATACCAACTGCAAAAAATGATGCGCGCAATTAGTTGGCATAAGTTGGGGGCTCAAAAGTGTTCGCAAAATACAACGCTTTGATTACTTTAAAATGGAGGAGTAATAAAGAGAACACCGTTGAGTTCACTTCACCCCAATAATTTTATTCTAATAATAATAGTAAGAATCAAGGCTTAATTAAAATCAGCTTCAAATAGAAGGAAAGTAGGAGGGAGTACACACACTTATATACAAGAGGGAGAGATAAGGGGAGGGGGAGGGAGGGGAGAAGTCGTTATTGATAGTAATATCTCAATTTTGGCGCGAATTAGCAATACCATGACGGCGATATATCGGTAGAGGAGGCGGTGGACTATCACATCTCTCTGATGCTGAAAACCCTGTTGTTCCACCCACAGTTGCAGTTGAGGGATCTCGATAAGCCGGACGGTCCCATTCTTCACAGAAAACTTGTAGCCTCGAGTGGATACTAGCGAAGGAAGGTCGAACAGTTTCATCAGCGGCCCAACACTCCAACATTAGGTCGTAGAGCTCAGCAGGACATCCCGGTGGCGAGGGCATTCGATAACCAGCTTCCACCTGACGAAGAACTTCCGCATTGTGCATTCCTGGATAGGGTACGCGCCCAAAGGTGACGATTTCTGTCAACAAGATGCCGAACGACCACACGTCGGAGGCGGTGGTAAATCGGGAGTAATTGGCGGCTTCAGGAGCTGTCCATTTAATTGGAAAACGTGCACCTGCATGAGCTACGTATTCCTGATTCTAAAAAAGATAAAATGATGGATCTTACAGAATGCTGAAAGGTATGAATTTTCACTTTTTAAAAATAGAAATACCTAGAATGGACAAATAACTTTTAAGGAATTATTTTAAGACATTTCAAATTAGCGACCTTTGTTCATGAAATGCTATTATTGGAGTACGAATAAAAGTCACCATTTTTATGGCCCCATAATTCCTGCATGACAATCAAATTTAAAATAAATTGGGAAGGCTAAGAATTTGAAAAGCCTTTATAGTGATAACAATAAATCTGAAGTGCATTAAGGTAAGCTTTTCTAACGCTTATTCCTGGGGAAGAAAGTGAAATTAAGGAGCCTCTTTGGATGAGGAACTCGAATTCGATTGTACTCTTTATTAATAGACTCAAAAAAGGAAGATCGATGATTCCAACCACTGCGAGTGAATTGGTGCAAAATTAAACCCACGGTCCTCGATAAAGCAGAACTCCAGGGTGACCGATTCGTCGTCGATGCATTCTTTATGCCTCTCTATTAAAGTTGAACTTTGTACTTTGTGCACGAACTTGTCTAAATAAAAAGTTGGGGGTGGGGAGGAGGGGGGGGGGTCTGCAGAGGGTATAAAACCTTAACAGACTTCATTTATTTTGATGTGTCATCTGTGCACTGTGTTTGCTTCGATTTTTTATATATTTATTAACGGGTTCTGAGGTATTACACGAAACACTGGCCAGTTTAAATTGCGTCGACATTCTATTGGTCGAAAGCGTTTCGCCTTCCCAATCCCATCGATTTCTCTCACGTTTAAACAAAAAAGTAGCAAAAATATAAAATTTGCTTGGTAATTTCGTCCATTCTTCTGAAGTTTGCTTGCATTATTCCAAAGGCCAATATATTCACCTGAACAAAATTTTAATTTCAAATTGTGCGAAACAACTGAAATGGATTGGCGGAAAGTTTAACAAGTGATTAAGTGGATGCAAGTTGAAAAGATGCAATGAGAAGCATCAAGGTATTAGAGATTCTTGCTTTATTCGAGTTCTGGAAGCAGATTGTTTAATATTTAGTAAATGACTTTCAAAAGTCACAAAAAAGCAAATTCTTAGTTGCAGAAATTTTCAATGTTTATTGATCAGATTTTTAAACGAAAGGGATCGGGGTATTATAACTTATAAAGGTAAAAAATGAAATATTGCACATTTCAAATGGATTTAAGGGTGATGCCTTATGCGTTTCCTTAGTATACCCTTTGGCACGACCTATAATCCTTACCTATTAAATGGACAAGGCTAATTAATTTGATTTAATCTATTCGCGCACCAGTGGGAAAATGGTTAACGTAGCACATTTGACAAGTTAGAGATCATGTAATAAATCTTCTTCATATCATCCAGTGATGTAACTGATCAAAACTACCGCCTAATTTGAATCAGAGAGGGAGAGAGAGATTAAAAATGCGACTCCATCACAAGAGTGACTCTGGAATGCTCTGTCTTTGCACAACTTATCGCTTGTAAAGAAACTGGAAAGTTCTTTAAGCAATTAGTTCGCCTTCTTCCAAAATGACAGAGTCCATTATCCTCATGGTTTCATTCCGAAAAAAATTGAATTCTAGTGGAAAACGAGTTATATTGTAACAAATTCAGGAGCTTAGAAAAGAAAACAAAGACACAACCTGGATAAAGCTCTTTCCATTTCCCATCATCTACAACCCAGCTCCTGACATATGCGCAGTAGATTTTTTTCAAGTTGCAACCCCCCTTTTCAATATCACCGCCAGCGCATCTCCCATTTCAGGACAAAATGTTCAAACGATGTATGCACAGACACATAGGAGAGAAGCCACAAAATTTAAAATGGCAAAATTCGTGAATTTATGTTGAATTGAACTGAAATAAGAACAACAACAACGTATAATGAAAATTCACATCCATTGAAAGTTAGGCGACGTTTTATATTGTAAGTCAAAGGAATGCAAAGAAATCTAAGGATAAGGCAAACTCTACTATCAATCCGAATTACCTATCGTAGTACCGTACACACATTCGTATAGCCATCAACTGAATTCACTGATTAAATAGTACATTAGAAAAAATTTCGGTCGAAAAAGCCATTTGAATATGGTAATACAGCCGCTTTGTGTTTATTGGTTGAGTAGAGAAGAAGGCCGAAATTGGTGGACTTCAATCTTGACATCAAAATTGCAAACCCAGCTCCAGCCGCGATTCGATCCCTTTTGTTTTAATAAACTCCACATCATGAGAGTTTTGGAAACAGGAAATGAGTTTTTAGTTGCATAGTCTATTGATTGGAAGTGGCAGGAGTTGTTGGTTTGTATTCGCGGGTTTTGTGCGTTTGCATTTCCTTAACAGGCACACTGGCAATTTCGCCTTAATCGCAGAAGAAGGTGGATAATTGATTTGATCGATTTACAATTATATTAGGCTAAGGGGCCAATTCCACCTTCGATAAAACAGAGCTGTTGAGTTGGTGCGATTTTTCTACCATTCGCCAAGTTGACAGCGGCTAACATCTTTTAGGTGTTAAAATTTTAAAGCAAAGTTAATTTGTATTACCTCTTAAAATGCCAAATTGCATTCAGTGAAGTACCACAATTTTGTATTACAACAAAAAAACTACCCCACTTTATCATGGAAATGGGACAAACACAACTACCAGAAATTCACATGAAAAGAAAACAAACACAAAATTTGCAAATCAAGTGTAATTTTCACACACGAGCCAGCAAAGGTAAGCTCCAGCCGAATATACTACCATAGCTTACTTCAAATTACGTTAACGAGATTTAATAACAAGCAATTGCTACATAGATTCAAGAGGAATCAATATTTATTTCAATTTATCGATTATCGATTTATCGACAAGCCCATAGTATTTGGCGATTTCATCAGCTTACTTATTAAAAAGCCACCCCTTCACCAAAGTGAGAATAATGCTAGCACTCTTATTTCAATAATTGAAGCCTTCTACTGATAGGTCTTCAATTCTAAAACCACAATAATGGAAGTAACAACTCACCTGAATCATTCTAGCCAAACCAAAGTCCCCAATTTTGACAACATTTCCATCGCCCACAAGACAATTCCGTGCAGCTAGATCGCGGTGTACATATCTCTGAGACTCCAAATAGGCCATTCCCGATGCGACCTGGACCGCTAGGAGAGCCAAACTCGAAACATTCAACACACGACCTTCTTGCGATTGAAGGAAAGACAGCAGAGAACCCTTTGCCATTAATTCGGTGATGAGGTAGAATGGTGCTGACTGGGTGCAGACTGCATACAGTTGGATGAGATGTGGATGGTGAAGTCGTTTCATCGTTTGAGCCTCCAGCAAGAAATCCTCAGTATTACAAAGATCTGTTAAGCAAAAATGAAGCATTCAGTTCAGGAACTGAGCCGGTTCAGTTGAGCTACACTAGCAACAAATCTTAGTCTCTATCAAACAGCAGATCTGAAATTCTGAGAGTGGGAGAGACACCACCATCTAGCCTGTCGCCAAAAAATGTGAAAAGTGTGTTCACTGCGAGTTGCAAAATAAAACAATGCGAACTAGTATAAACATTTCGACAGGAAAATCAACATCTAGAACAATTGTCAATTTTGATGTCAAGAGATCTATCAGGAAACGTAGCATTGAGAGATACACAATCTCCTCCATAAATCACTATTAGGCAAGGCTTAAATGTATTACTTCAATGCGGATATAGATTTATGAATTACCCTATCTAATATTAATTTCTTCCAAATTTAGACTTTTTCTAACCCGAAATGACATTCAACTAAGCTATAAATAACCACGTTTTGGGCGAAATATGCCTGAAAGCTAAAAAGGCCAGAGAATTCATGAACTTTAAAATATTTTAATTTCTTGTGCGGAAAGAATTCCACCACTTTTTTCGCTCGTTGCTTTTAATTGAAGTTTCAAAATTTAAACAAATTAAAAGACAAAAATAAGAGACATTTAAATTTTCAAGAAAAAAATGAAAAATACGCTAAAAATGCACATCCTTCATAAGGAAAAGGAAATCAGTTCCATTTGGCTTTTATTTTAAGTTAAATTATTTTCAGGCAAAATCTTTAAGTTGCAAGTTTGGTGACGTTTACATGGAATATGCAAAAATTGAGAGAAGCACTTGTGCAAACGTTCCTTGGAAGAAAAAGGGACAATTTATGAAAAATGCACTATTTTTCAATCATTAATGGTTCGTGTTGACAAGTATACCCAGTCCATATCTAAGACGTACACATACAATCGCAGAGAATTCCACAAATTATTTTTATTCACCAGGGGGTGTGCGATAGACTTACCTCCACGTGGTGCACCCCTTTCACAGTACTCACCTTTCCATTTTCTCTACCTTTGTGTCTGTCTGCCTCTTTTACATCTGTTAATCGCTCTTCTGTTCCCCACCCCTCGCCTTTCTTCTACTTCGATATTCCTTCCCCCTATGAAGCCCGAAGTCAGCTAAATGACTAATGATAGTTATCAAAACGCCTGCCATTTGAAATAAATAAATCTTTATTCACTATCCGATGCAAACAAAGCCTGAATTCTAAGTCAACGAGTATCAACATTTATTAGTCTTAATACACTCCGTTCTTAAGAGAATTATTTTTCATCTGTGCCTAAAAAGTA